CGGGTATTTGCTGATGTGGAATGTTACTGTTACATAACTACCCATTGCTGCATCATTATTCAAAATATTCAGTATTGAATGTTTCTATCCTGATATAATGAATAAACGATTTCCTATTACCACGAACTCCTGGAGGGTTCATATTGACCTCCTTCTACAACGTATGTGTTACTTCGGCAACTGGAACTCTTCGTCAAAGGTGAGAGAGTTTTTCTTATGAACGTACTATACTCAGAGTCTAAACACCAGTGCTACTAGATAAGATCTGGAGGAGTCCGATGTACTTTTGCTTTGTCTTGACGAACTGGAGAGCAACCGTTCATTTTTTTTTTTCTAAAAAACAAAACGGTCGAATGGATAGTTAGAATATGTATCGTGGAATGCAACTATTGGGAAGGTTATTCAACTAGCTTCGTGGGAACACTTAAGTTTTTATAATAAAAACTTCATAACGTGAAAACTCAATGACTCTTTTATATCTATTAGTATGAAACACATGACAGCTGCTTTTTGATGATTTCTTGTAGTCTGTAGCGGATCCAGGATTAATTTAGGGGGCTGTAGCACAAAAGCTTTTTTTTTTCTATCTTTATACATTATTTCTCAAAGGTGTTTTTTCGTCAATTCTTCATCAAACTTAACGATTGAGATCTCTTTTTGAATATGTTCTTCTCCTTCAGGTGAGAAAAATAGTCATCTCCCCCAGCGATTTCAGAAAAAAAAGTTATGAAGGAAAAGAAACTTTATTTGCGAATTACTCTAAAAGTATACATTGTTTTCTGGATTGTAACGGTGATTAATTGAAAGATTACTAAATTCCCTACATACAGTCCATTAAATTTGATATAGATGAAAATTTCTTCCCCTGCGAAGATACTGCTTTTGGTGTTCTACTACAGTTTTTTCCTAGCTGATATATACTGCATTATTCCTTAAAGGCATTTTTTCAGCGTTTAGAAATTGGCTCATAAAAAGTTATTTATACAAATATTTTGGTCTATTATGTTGAATGATGAAATACACAAGATTAGCTTATGTGCATATTATTTTACTGTTCATTCACTAAACAATATATTCTTTGAATTATTAGCAAAGGCCAATTTAAAATGTATATAAAAATTATTACTTAAAAAAAAAAAAAGACACTAACTACCTATATAAAACAGTGTTTACCTGATCCTTGAAGTCCTATTAAATCTAGTTACACAAACAATTATTCTTTCAGAAATACGATTATATTTTGGAATTTGGGGGGGCTTCAGCCCGAAAGCCCCTTCCTTCCCCCCCATAAATCCACCTGTACTTGTAGTTGCAATGGGCATATGTCATATAGTTCACGTTTTATACCCATCATATACTTTTACTATGTACCTTCTCACGGTTCCTAACCATTTTAATCATAGCTAATCTCTCCAGAAGAGGTCATCCGCTCGTAATGTCAAGTAGGGCGGCACTTGAGCTGTGCGTATGATCAAATTTTGGTTATATTTTCCTTATCACGATGCTGACGGTTATGAAATGTAACTTTCGCCCTTCGGTTCATATTTATGCATGCCTGTGGATCTCATATTAATTTGCATATATTTGCAGTTTTATATTTGTACGAGGAATTCCGCTACCGAACTCGAGACCGAATCCTTGTATTTGAATCATTATCTTATCGAAAAATTTAAAGACTACATAAATGTTAATAGTCTGTAAGAACCATTTTTAACCTAGAGATCGGCACACTTTTGTCTATTTAGTTAAGTACTAAAATTCGTAAATATCCATTTTATTTCAACTTGGATCGTAAGATAATTTGATCAAAAAATCGAGAAAAATGGTGGCCAAAAAAATATTGGGCCGTTTGGTCTATATGGACTTGTTATTTTGACATTTTGAGGGTGTAGCTCACCGCAAACGTTTCAATTTTTTTTAAATCAACATTTTTTCTCAATTTTGTGCTAAAATTATCTTATGACTCAAGTTAAAAGCTTACGGTATTTACGAGTTTTTAGTACCGATTTCAATAGGCATAGTTTACTGATCTCCAGATTGAAAACGCCCCGATTCCGAGAATTTTCGTAAATAAAATTCTGTAGGTTACGATAAGGTGAAGCTATTTATTAAGTTTAAGACGGATGTTAATGATCTGGTCAGTGCACGTACTATTCGATTATGAAGAGATTTAGTGGTGAATTTTAAATTACCCTAAAACCACTCCTATTTGGGACCCTCATACTAGACTTAAAAGAGAAGAAACTGCGAACAGATTCCGACCACTTCAATATCTAATTGACAAACGCTCTAAACTTCCTATTTCCTACAAAAAAACTCATTTACACTACAATCATCAGGCCCATTTGGACAAATGGAATTGAGCTTTGGGGTTCTGCAAAAACTTCGAAATCTTCCCGTATCCAATTCTTATAATCCGAAATCCTCCGTAAAAAGCTAAATGCTCCTTATTATGTCACAAATAAAATTATCCATAAAAAACTCAATATTCCTGTTGTTGAAGACTTGGCCCTAACTAGATATTCCTCTTTTAATTCCTAACTGTTTGGTCACCCTAACCCTCTAGTTCATAACCTTTCATCCAATACAATCCCTGACAATTCTTCGAGGCGTCTGAAAAGAAGATGGCCAAGGGACCTTCTAAATTAATCTAACCTTTGAAATATTACCAATGGGTATGTATGTATACAGTTGTAAATTTCAATAAATAAATAAATAAAAAATTAACCTTAAACCAATCACCAACATACATTTTTATTTTTCTGGCATGTTTTTAAAGCGACTTAGAATTCTCCTTCTACTGCATTTTTGCATTTTATGCAGGTTTATGACTTCGTTATTATTTAAGTCCGTCATTAAATTCCTATATAATAATTAAGTGACGGGGTTCACCCTTTTGTTGTTTTGTACTTAAGAACTAAAACTAAAAATTTAATTTTCAAACAACTTTCGCCATTGCTGAGGTCTTCAGACGGTTTTAGTTAATTGAAAAAGGGTTAGTTATATTTTTTACTGATTTGAAAAAAATTGCTATCGCTAATTCCTATAGCAGTTTTGACACTTTATCTCATTGCATGGCTGTTCCTTTGACGGCTTTTCTTAATATTACATTTTGAAACGACTGTAGTCGTTTATTAGTATTTGGTAACCATTGAAACTATTGGTGTTATTATCGTTTTATAGGGTAAAACCTATGGACGGATTGAAAGGTTTGTGGAAGTTAACAGATAATTAAGACGATATGTTTTTTATTGTTTTATAAAAGCGGTCTGTAAAACTTAAATATCTGTCAAAAGGGACTCCAAGATAAACAATATATATATATGTATTCTCTCTCTCTCTCTAATAAATTCTCTCTCTCCCTCTCTCTCTCTCTCTCTCTCTCTATATATATATATATATATATATATATATATATATATATATATATATAGAGAGAGAGAGAGAGAGAGAGAATGAGAGAGAGAATTTATTTTCACTGTTTTTTATTTTGAATTTTATTGATGATTCCCTTTTAGGAACGAAAATAACAATTCCCTTCATTTTATCAGAATGTCTAATAGCATTCCCATTCCAAACTATACAATTTAGGTTGTATTTAATTTTTCCATATATATATCATTTTTCATTTCAACTAAAATAAAACATATGTAGTTGTCAGTTCCCAATATAAAAGAAGATAGATAATTATTTTCAAGACTGTCAAAGTGATTATGATAGTGGAACTCAATTAAAATTAAACTGATTTTTTGTTTTTTAACTAATTATTTAAGTAAGTAAAGCGATTTTATTGATTAATTTATTATCATTTGTTTCATAAAAGAGGTATCAAAAATCTCTAAATGCTTTTGTACAGCTTTATAGTTTTTGTTACAAAAATCAAATCGTATCGTGTGTATTACATGAATTAAAAAAATGAATTCTTTGAAACATTTGTTATGTTGAAAATATCATTTCAAGAAATAGGAATTCCGAAGTCATAAAAATCCTGTGGAAAAATAAAAAAAAATAGAAGTATTTTAAAATTGTGTTCTCATTTTTTAATTTGTTAAAACCAGGGATGAAACTTTTTAAATAAGTTCCATTTTGTCCGTTTGTGGAAACGTTTTAGGAAACATAAGATTTATTTATTTATCAAGTTCTAAGGAAAATTTTTGTTATGAAGTTCTAGGTTATTGTGAAAGTTTTACATTCACAATTTAAATTTTTAATTTAAGTACTTAAAAAAAAGCCACGTTAAATCAGAAATATGTAGTAATTGGATTTGGATAAAAGTCATTCTTAGTTGGACATTCTGGCGAAATCCAAACAACCGAAACTAAAAAAACTAAATGCTCTGGTCGAAACCTTATGAATTATTTTAGTTTTGATATAAAGTTTTATTAAATCATAAAAAAATAATAATAAAGGAGATAATTAACATTTAATAACTTATGGTACAATATACTATAATGCCTGAATTATGATAACTATTTTCATTGAATAAAATCAACTCTATTTGGGCGATTGCCGTTTTTCTCTAACCAGTGAAGTAAAATTAAAGTAATTAAGTATTATAGCTGTAATCATAAAAGCCAGCATTAAAGCACCCGCTTATGTTGTATTAAAATGTAATATGTTGTTGCATATATTAATTTTAATTTATAAAATTTGGATTATAGTTCACTCATAAATGAAAATTATTACTTCCAGTATTCATAGTTTGTTTTGATTTTGTCTTATATGTGGATACACAGCTTTTTAAATTAATATATCAAACTAGTATTCACATTTTACATCAGTAATTTCTTTTTGAATTTAGAATTTCAAATGTTAAATTACTAAGTTTCAACATTTGATTCAATCACTTCTAAAATGAAAAAATACATTAATTTTAATTAGTTACAATAGGAAGATTATTTCCAATAAAAAACAGAAAGCAGCTAAATCATGTTGTTTTTATATTAAACCATATATTATTATATTGTAAATTTAAAACTATTTTCTTTTTATTATTTCAGATTCACTAAGTAATGCAGCAAATCCTCCGCCTTCAGTATCACCATGCGTAACTAGTAAGTGCCATAAATAAATATTATTGTATTATTACATGTCAACAAAACTGAATTATTACATAAAGTACAAAATGGTCTTTATATTTATATATATATATATATATATATATATATATATATATATATAAAATGTTCAAATACAAAATTCCAATGAAACTGAAATTGCGTATTTAATGTAGAAGAATATATTTCTACATTAAATACGAAATTTCAGTAGTTACACTTTGTTTATTCCAGCAACATATTCGTCAAAATCGCTTAACGTTAGAGGTACTAGAACAACAATGAACGATTTTAATTAATATCTTTATATCAACGTAAACTTAAATAGTCTTTGTATCAGTTAGGTAATAATCTCATTGAAATAATCGAATAGAGATTAAATGCAGGTATTAATAACGGTTTAATGACGATATTAAATAGGCATTAACGGAGTATGGATACAAACATTTTTTTTTAAACAACAGTATTAATTTATACCTATAAAAAATCTTTTAAAAGGTGACGATGTAACCAAATAATACCTAGAGATAAATAACACCATTTTTAATTTAATAATTTAGTAACTTAGAAACAATATCTTGTAGCAAAGTTATGGGAAATTGGCTCCCTGAACTAATACAAAAATGTTACATGACGTTCTTTAACTCCGGGGTACGGAAATTTCAAAATAACTGGCCCAAAGCGGAAGTTTGATTATTTAAGTATAGTAAGGATAGTACTGGTAACAGTGGGAGAATCAGCAGTAAAAGTAATAGCCGAGAAATTAATATTAACTGTTTCAACCCAAAAAGTTTTAAATCGGTAACCCCGTAGAACAATTGCCCCACTGGATTCGGTTATCAAGTAATGGTGTAGTTCCACATTATTAAAATTGTTTTTATTATGGAATGATGAATTTTCTCTTGATTGTGACGAATAAATGATTATTAAATTTTTTTTTAATGTTTGTTATTCATTAAACTGTTATTAAAATATTAATTATCTGTCAGTCTATATATATTAATGTAAATATTTATAAATCTAAATGATTCGGTTGCAGTTGTTAACATATATTTCACAATAAACCATAGAGTTATAAAACTTTTCGGGATTTTCTATAGTAAGGCAAAGGCAAATAATTGCAGATTCTCCCTCGAATTAATTTTGTTATAATGGTGGCACTTATTCCGATAGCCCTAATGGGAATATACATTTTAATAAAGTTCAATGGCATGTACGGTCAGTACAAGCGTTAAATTGGTAGTTTCCACGTAAATTAGGAGTAAAAATCCATAATCCCCATATATGTCATTTTTGAGGGATCGGTTCCTTTTACAGCGAACTCCAAGTACTTAATAATTGGTGCTAAAAAAAAAATCTTTCAGCCTTAAATAATATTCTAAAAGAAACAAACAATATTTTTGAGGTATAGATGAAAAATTAAAAAAGTAAACATTTTGGTATTTTTTAAAAATAAAACACGATTCCGGGCAAACTTTAATGTTTTATTCAGTGATCCAAAAAACTGGAGTGTACTAAAATAATAATAATAATGTCACTGTTTGAAAACCCCATTGTTGCAAAATATCTAGAAGAATACAGATGAAAAGATGGAGTGACTTATTTAGGAAGATGGATGGACATATGTACTAATACATACTACTATAAAAAGTGTTTTCCTATTTGCATTATCTGACAAGGTTTGACTTGACTGTTTATGGAAATTTAGTTAGTTACTTGATTAAATCAATTTCCACTCTAACTAGGTCAATAAGTGGAATGTGCGCAACGGAATGATTTTTTTTAATACATGTTTCAATTGTTCATATATTTCGAAAGTAGAGAAACATTGTGAACATACATGAATGATTTTAAATGAAACTGCGTACTTTGGTTGAGCCTCTTGAAATGCTAGGGTGCGGAGTGGACACCGACACCATCGAAGATAAGAAAAGACGGAGGTCTAGCGCTCCCCGGTTCCTTTCGGTGCCCCACAGCCAGGTTGTGAGGGAAGGAGAGGAAGTCCGCCTCTGCTGTTCTGTCTCCGGTTGGCCGCAGCCCTACACCCTCTGGAGGAGAGGCCAAGAGCCTGTGTCTCCGGCCTTCAACGTCTTCGAGGAGGACGACCTCAGGTGGCTCATAATACCCGCCGCCAGGAGGGAGCACGCCGGGGTATACACTGTCGTCTGTTCCAATACCAGGGGGACTATTCAATCATCTGCTCTCATTCAAGTGATAAGTAAGAGCAATGCCGTATTCTTTTAGTCTGTGTCCAAGTGTGCATTTAATAATTGGTATACCAAATCCACTTACTGACAAATACGGATTTCTACTGCAATATTTTGGCCTGCTAATAACATTTCTTATCGAGAATAATACTGCACTCAAACAAGTTACCATATAAGAATGTTTTTGTTGTATTTTGTGTTTGTGCGTGTCTCTTGTGTTTGTGAATCTCTTGCTTATTTAACAAAACATTGCATGCAAAATAACTGATTCAATGAAATCATTAAACTGCAATGAAGTAAAAGCGATGATTTCATTTCACTGGAGAGGGAAATCAGTGATATAAATTGACGGCTGTTTCCTATCCTTTATTTTACCGCGCTCATCACGGCTTCTTATTTAATGTACATTAAATAAAGGCACACATATTTTTTTTATATACCCTGATAGATGGTCTTTGAAAATCTTATTTATAAAAACTAATTTCGTTTTCACGGATTCAAAATCCTGACTCCATAATACAACCCTACTCAGGTTGTTGACGTTATGTTCTATTCCTAACGTTAGGAATCTTATGTCACTTTTCCAGTCGAGATGGTGGAGGCTCTTCCGCCGCCGTATTAGGCCACCCTGCCTCAGCCTGGAGAATCCGGTAGTCTAATTATGGAAATGAAATGGAACTGTAAAATTCCAAAGCTCAGTTCAGCAGATATGATCTGAAGACCGTTGGAAGTTTTGTAAATTTCATTTTTCAGTATTTTTTCAAGCGAACACTCAAAGTTTCGTAATCAAAACCATTAAGATTTTATATTGATTGTAGTTCTTTTAAGAAAAATAAAATATGGTCTAAATATGTACATTTATTTTTCATATAAGTAATCCTTCATATATTAATCTTTTCTTAGGAATAGACATAAACATTACATCAAATTCAAAACTGGTTTTAATTTATTATAATTAATAAATAAAATAATTTACAAATTTTTAAATTTCCATCCTTTAGTTTGTGTTTGCGATATTGTTGACTATTAAGAATAACCCCTCTAATAGGATATACGATGCATTGAAATCTTGAACAATGAAGAGTGTTGCGCAATATTACCGTCGAAGTAGATAACTTTGATTGAGATAACATTGCCCCAACGCCGTTAAATATTTCGGGTTGCTGTGTGTGGTCCACAAGCGTTTGTCTAAGGCACAAAAGATCTTTAGGGTAGAGAAAAGACCAATATCTTCCAATTCATGGGTGCCAAGTTCACTGAACATTTCTGCTACTGTTACTGAAAGAAAAGTAGGGAGAAACATGACAAGTGGACTTTTCGGTCTTTTTTGCCAACCGCAGCTCTCAAACCTTATAGTTTTATCCGCGATATGTCTCTATGCCCAACATTTAGTTCATTGATTTATGCATTTTCTGTTGAAAAAATTTCATATGATTTTCTGTTGGGTATGAAAACTAAAAAATCATAGGAAAATAATATTTTTCCACGATAAATGTCTTTATTCGGAATAATTACTGATAGTGATTAAATTGAAGACAAAATATTCTCATTGATCGGGTTTTTTAAAGACATAACACACTTTCGTAAACAAGCGAGACGATGCATGATACAGCATAAATGAGCGTTGCTTAAATCGCTTCAAAATATATTTTTATATTCCGATTCAGGATGTTAGCCTAAGTTAACCTTGTATCAATTTTGTGTGTTGGTTTTCTTTTTGTTATTTGGCGTTCTGCTTGGTTTGTTTTCTGTTGTTGTTTTGTTTTTTCAAATAATAAGTTATTTTTATTTGTTGTAGATGAGTATTAACGGAGGACGGGATTGTTGACGGATCAACAAGAGAAACTGTAATAATGTTTCATTCAATTGCTCAAAATTTACCTAATGTAAATGTGTTCTTTATTTTTTTTCTTAATTATGTCTATTAATTTATTTATTTTTTTTTAATTTTACTCATATAAAATCGTCAAAACTCTATTGTAGTGTTATTAAATCACATTAAAATTATGTACTATTTAAATAAATGAGATAATGAAAAATTTGAAATTTTCCTTCTTCCCCTATTTATAATACTAGCCTTCTATTATGATGTGTCTCATCCCTTTAACAAAGCCTAAGCATTAAGAGAGGTTTTAGGTTAATTAATTTCTCAATTTTCTAATTTTTACCCGACCATAGCCACAATCAGGTTAACAGTTGGTAGGTATGAAACGATTTTTTTAGCGCTCAATCGATTTCAATTTGATAGCTAAAATAACTCTGTGAGATCTCGTGAACGTTTCTACACAATATTTAATTCGTATAAGACAGGTCATCGTGACTTGGCTAAGAATAGGTCATACAAATTCGGCTCGTTTATATCTTATCAATAAACACCACTTCCAACATGCCAATAGTGCAGTAGCCCTCTCACTATTTATCATATTTTATAGAAAAGCCCTATTACACCTCAGGCTTAAATAAATTATCTCTTAGACCGAATATATGAGTGATATTAAATAATAATGAATCAAACATCAAAGCAGTTATAAGTTTACTTAAACTCATAGATAATTAAAAAAATAGAAATGCATATCATTTTTATTTTCATATATTTTATATTTTTATTTGTTTATTTGCTATTTACTTTTATAATTATTTATTTGATTATTTTTTTTTTTACCTTTTTCCTCTTCTAAGGAGTATCTGAACTCCAGTGGACTAAACTTATGACCAAGAGGCGTTGCTTACTCTGGGGTTTTACGCCATAAAGCTCAAATAAACAAAAGATATTTGGTTCTATTTTAAAGTGTGTTTAAACACTTAACAAGCTATGGAAAACACAAAAGTCAACGCAAGTCCTATTTCGCCAATTTACTATTAGAATTGTAATTTCAAAAATAATCCAAGTCGGATCCGAACCACAAAGTACAATTGGGTTGTACGGAAAAATAATGGAGGATTTTGAGTTTTCTTTAAAATTCCCCACAATATAACAAACTGTTTACGTTTGCTGGATAATATTTATTTCTATAAATGTTAACACTTATTAATCTTCTTCCAAGCGATAATGTTTGTTTACCTCTGTAGCATTTCGCTGCTTAGAAATAATTCAGTCTTTACTAAGATGTCAACGCGTGATTTTCGTATAATTTTGTTTTACGAGTTTAAACTCTGCCGGAATAGAGCCCAGACTGCCAGAAACATCAATAAAGTTTGTGGCGAGAACAGCATTAATAAGTGAACTGTTCAACAGTGGTTCAACAAATTTTAGGACGGATACTTCAGCGTTGAAGAGTAAAGAAAGTCGTCGAAGGACTTCCTCTCTTGATGACTATGTTCTGCGGGCATTCGTGGAAGGAAACCCCAGAACAACTTGCAGGGAAACTTAACCTTATAAAATTGACCATCGATGACCACCTCACGGTGATTGGAAAGGTAAAAAAGCTTGAAAATTGGGTTCCACACACATTAAACTACCTCCAAAAACAACAGCGTTATGATGTTTGTGGTTCAAGTTTTTGTAGAAACAAAAAGGACACTTTTCTATCCAGAATTGTTACTTATGATGAACAGTCATAGGGTCGTAGATGAAAAGTCAAAAGGTCATAGTAACTGTTTGGTGGGCTTCATTTGGTTTGATACAGATTCTTAAATCCTGGAGAAGCCATCAATATCGAATCGTATTGTAACTAAATTAATGCAATGCATCAGAAATCAATCGGAAGGGGTCCATTTTGTTGCACGACAACGCCCGGCCACATGTCTCTCTTGGGACTGTTGGAGAATGATTATGAAACTCTGCCACATCTGCCCTATTCTCCCGACCCCTGGCCTACGGATAGACTTTTTTTAGATACCTGTACCACTACATACGCAACAAAAAATTTAATGGACAAAGAGTATTATAAAATGCGTTTTTGGAATTTATCGATTCTAAAGGTCGGAAATTCTATTCCGATGGAATGGAAAAGATTGCCAACACGTTGGCGGAAATGTATTGATGGTAGTGGAGACAATTTTGTTTAAATGAAACAGTTGTAATATTTCTTTTTTAACCGAAATCCTGCATTATTTTCCGGACAACCCAATATTTTGAGAGTAACTCAACAGTTATGTTAAATTCGAACTTAAACAAACCTATAATCCAATATAAGCAACCTAAATAAGAATAAGAGCCTTTTATTTCATTTGAAATTTGTCATAATCTACGAGCATTGTCTATATTTATTTATTGATCGCATGAACACAATCATCTATAGTTTGAAACTCTTAGCTTATCTTATTTTGCGAATCTTTTGTACTTGAAGGCAATGTGTCTTGGTTCCTCCAGGCATTGGCATGTTGCACAGTTTTTCTCTCTAGGCTAAACTCATTACATGAAGAAGTTTATTTGTTCCACCATGACTTTTTTTATTTCTTCTCTCTCTCTTGGCACCGCGGAATAAATAAAATAAAGTTATAAATATGAATTAAATCTACTATTCAGCAGGTTTTATTTTAATTATTACTAAAAGTAAATAAAATATCAAGTAAATATGGTTGGGTTGTTCTAAGTAAGTGGTTGTTTCCCTTCGCTACTGTTTTTCTTTTTTCTTGTTTCAGCTGTTTCCATCTGCTGTCGCTTTCAAAAGAAATCGAAGAAGGAAGTTATGTTAAGGGCTAGAGTTGCTGTTAGTTAGCAGACCCTACACGATCTGTCACAAATGACAGTCACAAGAGTGACAAAAATAACTCATGATGGTTCCAATCAATCAATCACACTGATCCCGACACGTATCAGTCAGACTGATATCATTTTACTTCTGTTGACGTTGAGACAGCAGGCAATGTGGATCTGTTGCATTGTCTATTAAAGATATGTTTAATAGGATAAAGTTTGTTTGGCCATTATCCTGTATACTATTTCACATCAAAAGAAAATTTGATCTATAATAATTACTTTCTCATGCCTGAAAATCATTATTTTACTTACATTACTTTTTTTACTTATAATTATTACATTACAGCTCCTAGAAAATATTTCCCATCT